TCACTTCTAGGCCATGCTGGAAGAAGCCTGATGCAATCCCACTGCACGCGCGTGCGAAGCTTTGAGGTTCTTCTCGAGGAGCTTCATCTCCGGCGCCAAAGGATCAGGCGACTGCTGCAGCGCTCTCTCACCTGGGCATCGTGCCGAGATGGCAACAGGCAAGCTCCCACATAAATTACATTTGTCCTATATACATTATTCATATATCCACATTAAATTCCCGAAATTCAAATCATGTCAGGGGGCAAACTCATAGGCCAGGGCAACGTTGCTGTAGTAGCAATCGGTGGGGCAACAGAAGTAGGCAATCTGGCGGAACTTGTTCTGTGTTTTTCCTTTTGTCTTGCCTTGTCCTTGCTTCTTGTTTGAACCTTTCTTCGGCTGAGACTTGTCAACCAACTCCTTTGCAACCTTCACTCCCACTGCCATTCGTGTCCAGTATACACTGACCTGGTAGGTCTTTGGATCGAATTTCAAAGCCTTCCAGGCAGGATGGGTGCATTCACTGTCCTGGCATTCTTTCAGGACACTGCAGATCAGGTCAACAACCTCTTTCAGAGGTTCACCCTCAGGCTGCTTTTTCCCCTTGGTTCTTTTTGTTTTTGTCTCTGGTTGCTTGGCAACATTCTTCAATCCAATACCGTCCTCTTCCTTTTGATTCTTCTTCTTTCTTGTCGTCTTCGCACCTTTCCCAGTCTTTGACTGGTGATGCACTTGCTCCTGCAATTCTTCTTCAGTCTCCTCAAGCTTTCGCTTGTGTGACTTTGAGCAGCAGCCTGCCGCAACCTTCTTGGACTTCAAACGTCGTAACTTCCATCGCTTGCTGCCTCTTCGGGGGCGGGTGGGTGCCACAGCATGATTTGACAGTGTGACTGGACCACCATCAACACCATCATTCATGGGAATGTCAACTGCATCCATATCATCAGAGGGCTCAGCAGTTTTCGATGGCTGTTCATTATGGCCATGTTGACTCTCTGCTTCCTCCAATTGGCGATCTCCGGAACGCTGGTCCTGTTCAGCTTCCTTTGATGCAGACTCCTTGAGATCGACTGCTTGACTCTCTTCTTGGTCAGCCTCAGGGCGCACTCTCTTGTGTCCCTTTTCCTGTTTTCCAGTCTTCTTCTTCATCTCACGGTCCTTCTTCCTTTTAGCCTTGACTTCCTTGGCTTCTTGCTCCTTCTTGAGCTTTTCAATTTTTTTGGCTTCCTTTTCTGCCTTCTTTTGTTCCTTTTCCAAAGCTTTCTCTTGCTTTCTTTGTTCCTTGTGCTTTCTCTTGTCTTTCTTCATGCGGAATTGCTGCCTGCGGGTAATCACCTCATCCTCAGCCTGCTGGCTGAGGTCTCCAACTTCTGGTAGTTTGCTTGCAGCCTCCCGTGTAGAAGCCTGAAGCAAAGAAACCATCATAAACCATCAACAATTTAATTGGGGATATCTTTAAACAATGTTTGGATGGAATGGCAGCCGGATGCCCTCACAAGTTTAAAGTTCCTGCGGTTCCTGTGTATATTTATGCACTTTTCCGGGGATATCAAAAAACAAGGGTCTCAGGCAATGATAGGCAAGAAGATCCTTATAAGCTGACCCATGGAGCTTTCAGTTCAGTCAGCTTTTGGCAAAACAACATCCTTTTTGAGGTGATCAAATCATGTATTGAATCTGTCGAGCCACCTCCACAGCATCTTCCTTTTGCTTCACAGTCCTCAAGGTTGCAGCAGCAATGTCTGTGATCATAAGGGATGATGGACTGCACGGCAGCTGGGTGCAAGCATTGTCGGTACCAAACGGGAGAGAATCACACACCAGCTCCGAAACACCTGACTGGATCAAGACTGGGAAACAACTTCATTAATTACATCATGTTAAACCTTGACATCCGAACACTCGAACATTGTTTAAAGGAAGGCATGTTCCTATGATGCTTCAACGGCAGGCTTGATTATACATGTGAGTTGTGGCCTCAACGTCCTATCCCCTCCACAACACATCACATCACCAATCTTTTCCAACAAATGACCTTGGCCAGGATGTGCTGGAATCGCAGCCGAAGACATCTCAGGCTGCTCAGGCTCTGGTGGATTCGTGTTGGGCTCTTGATGCTTCCTTGGCATAGTCTGACGAATACGAGAAAATAGAAATAAAGACCTGCTGCAACCAATTCCATATACATGCCGTTTTTGGTGGAGGGTAAGCATAGAACATGTTTCAATTTTGGCGAGGACTAGGCTCAACTTCAACGCAGTCAGTTCCTCAATGAGGGCATCGGTTTCATCCACAGCGGGCAGTGGCTGGTATGCCTCGGGTTGTCCTTCATCCTCACCATCGGAAATTTCCACCAGATCCACCGCTTCCTGACACCCCGAAAACCCGTGCAAATATATATAATATATATGTTGATGTTTGTTTCAGTGTCTTTTTTAAAGGCATCCATCTTCAGGATTTGTGGTTTCATTGTTGAACAATAATGAACAATGTACGTGGGCCCACCTTCCATGCGTGACATGTTGATTGCTGAAACCAGTCCTTTGGCTCTGCAGTGCTTGTATGACCTTGCAGTCTTGGTAGCCATTCACTGGGAGGTTGCACTGTCCCAAGCACTGGTGGCGTTGAATTAGCAACGGGCACCTTGTCAACCCCAGCGTTCTCAAAGGCCTTCTCCAAATCCCGGGTGATTCGCTTGTCCAGGTTGGCCAGATCAGAACCTCCACAATTTTCCTGAGTTGGGACCTCAGCCTCAGCGGACAATTCCGTGACAGGCTCCGCCATGACTTGGGTCTCTGGAAAGCTGCCCTCTGAAGGCACCAATGGGGGATCCAAAGCATCCCCACGCTTTGGCCGTCTGATGGGTTTCCATCCCTGCAGGGTTGGGCAGGAAGAAGATATATACACTTACATGTGGGTTACGAAAACGATTCAATCACAAACTCAGAAAATGAGAATCTATTGAACTGTTTTGAGGACATAGACACACAGACGCGCGCAGACTGATTAAACACAATATTACAATATATATATATGCCTTTGAAGTTATAGTGCGCCTATACCTTCCGTGCCCCTTGCACACCACTGAATTTTGAAATAGGCACTTCTCCAGGTGAATTTGGAACAGGAGTCACATGCATTCAAGATTGGAAACACACTAAGTTGGTGGGTCAGTGGGTCCATAAGGATCCCTTGTATGCAATGAATTTGCTCTTTCAATGTTTGCGGAACAGTATGGATTGCCCTTCCCCACCTCCGCTGTGCAGTCCATGCCCAGCAGCCGCACAAGGTATGCCATATCTGGATCCTGCGGATTCTTCAGGACAAATGGCTGAGTGGTGGGACATGAGAGTTTCCAAGTTTCCATGGCCGGATTAGCTATATAGGGCAGTTGCACAATCAAAGGGGCCCTTTTTTTTGCTCCTAACTGCCATGAAACCCATACAACAGATCATGCCCCAAACACGTGCACGAGTTCATTTGCAGTCCTGCGGGGGTGACTCTTTGTAAAGAAAGGACTTGACCTGCTGGATGATCCTTCTGATGGCCCAAGCTTGCTGATAGCAATGCTCCAAGTTCCGAGGCTTCATCCCAGTCTGGTAGACAAGATCAATAGCCAAGATCAGATTGTCAATTGAAGGGATACGAAGTTCATTTGTCTTCATAAACTCGAGAACTGGAGCTACCACGAACTTGTTGGCCCGTGCATCTTCCACTGAACTTTCCACATAAGAATCATCAAGTTCTTTTGTTTGTTCATTCATGTGCCGACACAAGTAGTGTCCCTCTCTAATTCGGGACCGAGTGTTGACATCATCATCCCATTTCTGTGACAACCCTGTGAGAGGATAGTTTCCCACACGCTCTCCAGAATGTCCACGGACTGCCGATGTTCCACTGGCAGCACCCGGGGAAGAGTGCCCTGAACCTGATGCACCGGAGTTGGAAGTCTTCTTACGTGCCATGACAAGTTGCTCTAGAGTCTTCGAGCCAAACTGGATGCCTGCAGGACAGACACGACTTGAGGATCTGAGGCTTTGCTGGATGATGCGTCTCACATATTTGTACCTTGGGTATTTGCTGCACTTTGGACAACAAACTATATGTGGTGTAATAACCAATTGCCCCAGCTGATGTGACAATGCTTCGGAACAAAGATCAGAGATGATTGATCAAAGACTCCATGAACAGCCCAATCGTCCTCTCGATTTACAAACAGGGCAGGATCACCTGCACGTGAACGCCCTTCCAGATCAGCCATCACACGCAAAAAACAATGTTACATCAAGTGTGATGCAGGCACACGCAATGCCCGTGCATGTTTGTCATGGATGATGGTCATGACGATAAACGCTCGAATTGATATAATATGCTTTTAGCATTTTTGGTGATCATCCAACTGTTCATGTCGCTGGTTGTGTGAACAAGGAATGGTCAAAGATAGGACCCAAATCCTGTCCAATCATTTTCACTTGATTCCAACGCCGACCGCTGGCAAGTCACAAAAAGGCTGGGGACCTGAAGGAGGGGTTTGGGTGATCAAACGCCTCGATTGAACCTTGCTGGCACTAGAATCATATTTACGGTGCTTCGGAAACCAGTGGGGTCATGTAAAGTGTGATGTGCCTTCAATTGCCTTCATGGCTGCAGAAACATAGGTTGGGATTTGCACCCATTCAACTGCACACCATGGGCAAATCTTGTCTTTTGACCAATTAACGTTCGAGAGAATAATTACTCTTCGGAAGCAAAAAAAACACTTTTTCATCATAAGGAGACTAATTAGTCTTTCCTGGGTGCCCCAGGTATGATTGCAGCTGAACGGGGTTTTCCAACATCACAAAACCCTTGCTTCCTCTTGATGAACTTGATCAGCCCTTTATATGAATCACTTCAAGAACACCTGAGGACTCCGACTCCGACCGTGATTCTCCGAAATCTGCCACCCTCGGTCACCCCCTCGGTCCCTGAGTGGAACTACCCGGCGCCTCACGAATCGGATGTTTTCGCCCAGGGGCGCTTGAGCATAGCGAAGGGTACTCAGAGTTTCTGCGCTATGGAGCGGGTTCACAGAGGCAATCCTCGCAGGGAGGAGCTTCGGCGTCTCGCCGCGATTTTGCCAGCTGAAGACGGATTCCGTTGGCAAGGACGGGTGTGTTATGACAAAAGCAAGGACGGTCGGACAAATTCCTTCCTTTTGACCAAAGCTAATTGAATGACATCATGTGATGCAAAGGGAAGGACTAAAATCTTGCCTTCAAAGTAATCTACTGAAACCAACTCCATCCAAATCAAGCAGCGTCGTTTCCAGGAAAGTCCCACAACCAAACACAGCCCTCACAAGCTCGACGCAGTCATGAAGGCACGTGCTTGATGCCCTGTAATCGCATCGGTCAGTAGCCAAGTCAAGGCTGAATCTCGATGTGGTACATGATCACCATGACCACCTCGAGCACCGTCCCAAAAACATCTCATCCGGACGTTGGGATGGTCGGCAGGTCAAAAGGTCGGTCAGAAGCATTCCCTTTGCGGTCTAAAAGCCTGAATGCACCTGGCAAAAGCCGGAAATCACGTACTTCCAACTTTTCAGCAACTCAAGAGCCAGGTTCTTGAATTCTTGAATATCTGTTCGCATCTAGCACGTACTGGTATACTAGCTAGGGCATAGTACCAAATATGTATGGTTCCGTATCAATGAATATCAAAATTAGACAATCATGTTACATGTTATATATGTGCAAAAGTCATGTCTTTTTCTGGTTTAAAAGCAACAACTTCAATAAGTCAAAGTCATGGACGTAGTCTTTCATAACGGACATCGACTCACCGCTCTTCCCCGCGAAGCTTCGCGTTCTGTCTGACGAAGCGACGAGACAGGGCGGTCACGACGCGGCCCAAGGTGGAAAGGCTCAAGTTGATGTGAGCTCCTGAAGTTGATGTGGGAAAGTACTATATAGTAGCTTTTTGTTACTAGTAGTGATGGCCTCCAACCTAATAGCGATAGCCTCCACCTAGTAGCGTCCTTGATACAAGTGAGAGCTCCTGAAGTTGATGTGAGAGCCTCCACAAGTCCAAGAGAAAAGTCTCCACAGGAGTCGAGTCTCCACACATGGGGACGAAACAAAAGACCAGGGTGTAGGCACGTTGTAGGGATGCTATTTTATGGGTTTTTTTAATGATGCTTTATGGGCACTACACCGTAGCAGGTGAAGTCATCGAACACTACTGAATGGAAAACGGTTCTCATCAAGGTGCAGCTCAAGGCAAGTTTTGCTGTGAGGTCAAATGAGCCACTGGAGTCTTGGCTCCCAAGGTGCTTGAGGATTTAGGGTTGGATACTTACTAATTTTGGCCCGGAGATCTGAGATGTTTTGAGGGATATTGTATCTGTATAATTCAATAAAGCTGACGTTCCGCAGTTAGCTGGATCCCCAACCCCTTATAGGCGATCCAAGCATGGATTGGTCACACCAGTTGAGATCCTTCTCGCAGCTGCTCTGTATTGGTGGCATATTGGCCAGACCTGAGCTTTTGTTGCTGCGAGTCTGGCCAAGTTTCACATGGTCTCACCAACCAAACACTTGCTTCCAAACAAACTCCATGCAAAGATAGATATGGTCCGAAACTAGGCAACATCTTGTTCAACCCCAAGGTGAGGGGTTTCTCACCCAGTCAAGTCCTGGGGAATTCCGGATGAAGTTGTCCCCTTTTTTTCTGGCCCAGATGTGGGCCAGTTCTGGGAAGGCATCTGTACACAAGAACTGAAATGTCAGGTTTTAAAGCACCCTCTCAAAGGAACTCCTCTAATACATGCATTTTGCTGGACAATGTTGCAGATTTGTTTCTATGCGTGGGAAACCCAAACTTGCCAAGTGGGCAGCACACCTTTCCACTGATGTGGCTTCGATGCCAGTTCTGCAGGGTTGGGATCAGCAAAAATGCAAACTTCATGTATATAATAGAAGCAACTTGTCAGTGCTTAGACTGACAGAACATCTGATAGTGCAAGTTTACAGTTATCTACTGCCTAGTCTATGTAAATCATATTAAATAGGGCTGTTTGGAGTTTTTCTCGGCTAAACAACGAGGCTGGTACCGCGCTACACTTGGGCCATGTCACCATGTCCGAAAAAGGACCCTCATGCAAATGGACATGAATTGACCAATCCTGATAAAGCCTGAAAACATCTGAAAACCATAGAACTCACCATTTTCCACGTGCATTTGGTGGGGTTTTGAGGGTTGGTCAACCTCACAAACCACCGGACTGAGGAGAACATCCTGTAACCAACATCAAAAAGCGTGCAGTTCCTTAAAGCCTCGGGCCCTGACCGTTCGCTGCCGGCCAAGTCCACGATGTACACTCTGGTCTCATTCCCTGACTCACGCCGATCGGACTGTGATCGTTGGTGTGGGCCCCAAGGTTCAGCCGATTTTTGGTGCGGCTTTGTCTTTAGAAAGAATCCTCGGAGGTTCCATAGGCTCAAACCACTCGTGTTGGCAGCAGCGGACCCTCCAGCCTTTCTTCTGGTCCGGCATGTCATTCCAGCAAATATGAATGGTTGCTACCTTGCGGCGGTGGACAGTACATGCCAACCTTCCCTTACAGTAGGGATCCGACTATGCTCTGTTCATCCCTGTTTGCCATACTTACCCCTGGTCATCAACCCTTTTTTGGATCTTTATTCCAGCAAGCCGACACAACACATTCTCCCACATTCTCCCACGTTGGTGTTCTTCTTCACCTGTCATCGACCGACGTCGACCGTCTCGTCGTCTTCTTCAGACGTCGTGTCGTCGTCTTCCATCGCCGGGTCCGAGTCGCCGCGTGGCTTCGACTCGAGCGAGGGTTGAAGACGGTCTTGCCGACCATCCGTGAGGCGGCGCCCTCCACGAGCCACGACCCCACCTGGAGGGGGGCGGAGGCCCGGGAAAGGAGGTGGGCTGATGGCACAGAGAAGGTCTGAGAGGTCTTAGTTGGGAAAATAGGTCAAGCAACATGAAATCTAGTGTTTAAACGTGTTTTAAGTTTGTTTTTGTTAATGTCATGGTATTCATCATGCATCATGGGCAGGCACTTTGGTTCATGCACAAAAGATCATTTTGCGATTCTACAGGAACGGGAACTACGGCAAACGCAAGAAGAAGCCCACCAAACCATCTGTAGCCACCATGTTGCAGTTGTGACCACTGGTGCACTCCCATCTCAAGGAGTGTCATATGATTTGATTTATGATCTCTTCCTTCAGTCTTTGTAGGATGAATTGATTTCTCCATGGCTTCTGCCTTTAAGGGCTGTATAGACCAAAAGCCATGCTCTGCCATGGCCCATGAGGTCTCGGGACCCACGAGCCACGACCCCTGCCTGCTGGGTGAGCTGTCCAGGATCACACCTCCAGGGGACGACGGACCGGGACCGTGAAGTCGTCAGCTCCATGTCCATTTGGACAAACAGGTGGAACAACCGAAACATGGAAGAAACCACCTCCAAAATCATGGAAAACGACTGACAATTCCAAACGCCCACCACAAGTATATAAGTCCAAAGCATTCCAAAGCACTGTCCAATCCTCAAGTCCTCCAAGGACGCCTCACCTCCTTCCACCTCTTTTCCCCAGTCCTTCCCGGGCCCCTTCCACTGCACCTCCGCCGCGTCAGGCCGCGGACCACCACGCGCTCCTCCGCCGACAAGATCGGTGCCTTGTAGGCGCTGCCGGGCTCCAACTCCTCCCGCTCGCCTGCGAGCTGACCAGTTGCAGCGTCCGTGAACTGAGCTAACCAAGGAGGTGACCAAGGACCGGAGAGATGCGCGTCTGACGAGTCGACCCGTGGTACGAAGAAAAGACACACCCCGAAGCTGGTGGAAGTTCATGAAGCTGCTGGGATTGCTTTTCATCAGGCAACAACCATTGATCGACGAGCAGTCCCTGAGGCAGGCCATAGCTCAGGATCTTCAAAGGATCAACTTATGCACATTAAATACTTGGAACAAAAGAGTGCAGTGCGTACACTAGTCCATGTTGTAAGCCTCTTCTCAGTTAGGTTGCATGTGTTGCATGACATTCTGATATGAGGGGGACCCACAATGCCTAGCGTGTTTCTTATATTTGTTTTTTGTCGTCAGTAAGGATTCTCAGTTTCAGGGCAAGCCACATCGAAGCAATCCTCCCCTGGCCTGCCAGTGTACAAAGCTTCGAGTTTGACAGCAGGTCCTGTGCATGACTTGAGTCGAGTGAGTGGTGCAAAGCCGCTTGCTCGAAAAATTCTACTCTGTCTCAGAATGGAAGCCTGCAAATACACCATTGCCAAAACGTAAGTAGATAAAAACTGATTGTTGGTCTCTTGCCTGGTGAAATGAATCCCCTTCAAGCGGATGTCATGCGAGGGGCAAGTGAGAGCTTTCGAAGTCCCTGACAAACCAAAACATTGGAAGCATGGTGTGTCCCCGGGGGGTTGGCTTTAATGTGCTTCAAGCCAAACCCGGAGTGGCTCAAGGAAGACCTGTACGCCCGCTCGGGTAAAGTGTGCTGAACTTTGCTTGAAGAAAAGTAGTGAGAAAATGTGAGAACCCAAAAGAACCCAGCAAACTGAAGCTATTTACGGCCAAACTCCTGTTGCATCAGAGCAAGTCATTTTGCCAAGCATCATGAATCTTCTCGTTGTAGACTTCCAGAAAGCTAAACTCGATCACTGCCTTCTCTTGAACCTCCTCTGAAATGCTCGGATAGGTGTCACCATTTAGAAGCTTGCCGAGATTTTCAAGCAGTCCTCAGCACTGCAGTCCATTGGATGGCTGTGCTGTGCACCCACAAGGCTGTGCGAACTGCGAACACGGCAAATCATGAGACATATATCCAGTCTGAAATGATTCATGCGTGATGTCTTTCTGCAACTCCATGCACCCCAGGCAGTGAACATTGGGTTTTAGTTCATATTTGGAACAACAAGACGCAAGATCCGCACATAACACGACCGCGGAGTATTCCCGTTTCCAGAGTGGTTGGTAAACTGCAGCTCCAGCTTGCTTGTGGCCATCGTGGTTTTGTTTTAGCACCTGAAATCACCTGCCAATCGTGCCAAGCCTTATTTTCGTCCAGGACCACAACCACTCACAACCCCCTTCCCCACAAAAAGAAAACAAACTCATCATCCTTCTTTGTGAAGGACCGATCTACACCAGACCGATGGACATTCATGGACCATGGTGGCGGAGACATACTCCGTCTCTTCGTGTCCCAAGGCTCGAAAGGCCACGCCCTTGGAGGACTCAGTGCTGGGATCTCCGAAGACCGTGTGGGTCTTGCCGGAACCCGTCTGCCCATAGGCGAACAAGCAGCAATGCCTGAAGATATGATGGTTGAAAAGGTGTGTTGTTTTTGTTCAGTGCTGCGTGTTACTTGGACGTGACTCTGATGTTGCGGCCTCAGGATCTGTCAATGTCATTTTTGAGAAGGTGCAACTATATATATATATAGTTGACTTTTTGGCAGGTGACCAGGGAGTTCTCATGGTTTAGTGTCTCTAAGAATGGACTTTAGCGGGTGCTTTTTGTCGAGACAACGAAGCATGCATCCAACATGGGATGCAGTACGCACTCTTTGCATGAACTATGTAGAAATTATTCCTCTTCAAAGCAAGTAAATGAATGTCTTCCTAGTAAGATCGATAAAGAGGGCCGTGAGCGGGCTCCGTTCAACCCCACCCCCCAAAACAGTCGCTGGGGGGATAAGGTGCCCATCAGTTGCGGCCCACCTTGAGAACTTCAACAGCTGTGTCTCACACGGCCAGTCATGTCAATGTCAGGCTGGAGATTGGACACATGTGTCATCTGCCGCTTGCCCTAGGCCCTAAACAAAATCCATCTTTTCTGTGATCCTTTCTCTCACAAGGACTTGTGCCCCCAAGAGTTCATGTGATGCAATCACAGTATGGCACCAGGAAGAGAAGCACCTCACTTGGACTTGCAAACCCCAAAAAGCAAACCTGTTGCGCTCGGCTCACCATGATGTTGCGCCCTTCAGGCGCCCAAAGCGTCGAGGAGACCTCTGCCAAGAGGCTCCCTCCGCAAGAGAGTTCTCATCATCGGGCCCTGTAATCGGCTCCAAACATCCTCTTGCCTTGCACACACTGATTTGCACACACACTGACTGGAATGGAAGGGGTGAGGTGGTGGTGGCTGGGCCACCCCTAGACCACATCCCAGCTCACCTCTGAGCCTGGTTCCTCTCCAGACTGCTGGAATGGACGAGTCAAACCCTGAAAGCTCAGCATTGGACGAAGAGGACAGTTGAATGGCTTTCCTCTTCAAGTTTTTTGTGCGAGCCAAAGCAAAATCATCTTCAGAGCATTGCATCGATAAAAATACATAAGTGCAGCAGTAGAAGCACAGATACTTTTGGGACATCCAGGTCCAAATGTCGCCATGCTGAAACTCAGCAAATCCCAATCCAACGCTGATTGAACCATACTTCTGTGCACTGAAAGCCAGTTAAAAGGGTCCTTGAGACTTGCTTTCCAAACCATCCACATCATAAACATACCGTAATTTCCCCCACTCATCCATCATCGCCCCATGGCATTCGCCTGGTGTCTTCCTTGAAGATTTCATCAAAGAAGAAGTTGACCCGGCTGGCAGGGCCCAAGGTTTGGACGATCTGACGTCGGTCCACCTGCAAACAGTTCTCTGCACCTTGGCCCGGTCGCTGCGATTGACCAGCCCATGTCGAACGGGGCGATGGCAAGACGAACGCCGAGCCCGGCTCCAAGCGCATGGAGCGCCGAAGGGACGGACCCACACAGCCACCCAAGCCTTCTCAGGAGGTAGGTAGAGCCCTAGGAAAGGGCCTTGTGGCCAAACCCTCAGGAGCTTGCGTCCGCTAAAGGGGCAAAACGCTTTGGACAATTGTTCACATTGGCAGTGACTGCTTCGCAAAATTGGGGGAACCATGAGGAACCTCCTTTGTCTAAACACGTCCTTGGCACAGTCCGGGTTTATGTTCTTCAGACCATTGAACAAATCGACTGGATCCGACTGGCAAAACTCAAGGACAATATCCACAATGAAGTAAACCTGTCAACACCTACAAAGGTGGTTCATTGATTTGATTGTTTGTAAGACCTTCTCAGGATGTAATTAAATGTCACATCATCCATTCATCACAGTTCATCCTTCAATGTATGTGGGACATGATGACACTCTGAGACACTTCGAGACACTTCCAACCTCTTCCAACCACCAGTACTCGTGAATCTATGTGAATCATCTTCCAAGTACCAGTGAATCATCGGTTCCTTTTCCCATGTCTTTTTCCCTCCTCTCTCTTTAAGACCCCAAAGGGATGTTGGGATGTTTGCTCCAAGCGACCATCATGACGATCATGAGGCCGGAGGCGAATGCCCACCCAGACACGCTTGTCGACCTGCGCCAAGGCGGTGGACAAGGCCTCCTCCAGCTCCTGACCGTGGCGGTGGACACAGCACGACGGGCGCGACATGCGCATGGGCGCGACACGCGTGGACCGTCACGGTCAGGCTGGGCCCCAAAGCATTTCAGCTGGGTGGACTTCACTGGGTCTGTATGAGACGCGCCAAGACCGAAAAGCCAGAATGGGTGTGTAGTTCAAAGAGGGAGACCGACCCCCGTGAAAGACCCCTGGAAGAAGGGACATAGGACCCAAATCCCTTGAGGCAGGGAGGCCTCCTTATGAAAATACACAGCCCAAATGAAAACACCCACAGGGTTGGCTCTTCCTGAAGTGGAATTGGGTGTGCTAAGAGCCACGTGGGTGGTTGGAGCAGAAGCCAAAAGGAGGTCTGACAGGTCTGCGGAGGCCTATGGAGCTGGTGGTTTTAGAGGGATGACTAGACATGCGGCGACGGAACGCGGAATGCGTCCAGTCACGTGACCGTGGTAGGTGGAACGCAGCGGTGAAATCGCGGGTTTCAACGGTTGGAATTGGGCCCTGCCTTGGCTGATTGTCCAACCCCACTTTCGTTCCATGTTCGAGTCACGGTATGCGCTAAAATGACTAGCTGGTCAACGGCATGGGGCCATATGTGGGGCGGCATGGATATATTTGGTACTAAATTCAGATACACTATCTATTATGTGGGGGCCCTATCTCGTTTAGACTACTTAAGTAGGAGGTCATGTCACAGTATCTCGTGCAAACTACTTTAGTAGCAAATCACACTATCTCGTTCAGACTACTTTAGTGTCGTCAAGCAAAAGTATCTCGTTTATGTGGGGGTCCTATCTCGTTCGCAAGCGAATACTGCTAATAGACAATGAAATAGAGCATGCCAATGCCGTAGACTACTTTAGTCAAGCCTAAATAAAAGTGGTTACTCATATGAAGCAAGCTACAAAAGTGGAGCAGGGGCATGGCAAAGCCTTGCAGGTTCTGAGGAGGTGGACACAAAGAAAGGGATGGCAAGGAAAGGGTATGACAAGCGCCTGGAGGGCGTTTGGCATCAAAGTTGCTTCTTGTAAGTGCAACAACACTTCACACAATACAACTAAGAATGGCTCGAACGCAAACCACCACAAGTTCAACTGCATCAAAGTTCTATGTACTATAATCATATTATATTGGCTTGAACCTAGATCTGGTGTTTGAGATGGTTGGACTGTTTTGTATAGTTCATTGCTTTGGACTCGATTGTTCTGATTTGTTGAATCTCCTAGTCACTACGTCATTTTGGCTTCGTTCGACTGGCGCTCCCCCCCAACGGGCACAGCAGCTGGGTCCTCTCGCAAGGCTGCGTCGGACCTTAGAAAGATCCAGGTGAGAGACCCCCTGACATACCGAAGACTCCATGTAATCTCAAAAAAAAAACATGAAGAGGCTCTACAATCCAAGTTAAGGGCTTATAGTTCTTTATAGCTTTTGGTTTTAATAAATGAATCAAGAGTCTACATTCGGGCTGATTTAAAATTAAGTGGTTTTGAAGTCAGAACTTCATTCCGGAGTGGAACTAACATGGAAGTGAATTGCGTTGTACTCCACAAACAGGGGTTCTTCCACTTTCATGTTAGTGCCAGGGAGGGTAACGGTCGAACACTAATCGCTGGCTTTGGGGATTTGGATGAACATCTGGCCTTGGCCCATCCCCTCGATCTGTGTCCTTTTGACCCTATTGGTAGGGCCAAGTGACGCCAACAAAGCCACCACGCTGCGATAGCAGCTTTGATTGCAGCGGCGAAAGGCCGGCAAGCGCACCAGCGGCAGCCAGCTGGCAATCTGCGATTCGATGTGAGGTGCTTGCAGAGCGTAAAGACGCATGAAATGGTATACAGCACAATAAACATCAATCACCACAAAGTAATGTTGACAAGGATAAGGACAACAGAATCAATCATGTAGGAAGGACATATTATAATATATAAATATAAATTAGTAAGGCAGCTCAAGATCCATCAGAATAATTCACAAGAAACTACGACAATTGTATCTAGAAAACATGATACTTGCTAGACCCATATCCTTGGCATGGTCGAGTATTTGCAGAAGTCAGATTCCTCGAGCCCAGACCTATGTCATTTGTGGTAATTGCCAGTGACAGAAGCCTAAATCGGCCGTGTGTACTTTAACTGCCCTGCCTGACATGCGAGATTGCCTGAGTTCAGAATCCATCGCCCCTTGCTGGCTTCAACCTTGACAAACGTGGTCACGCTGGTCACTGGTCATTGATCACTCCAGTCCAAAAACAAATGTAGCATGAGGAATGAGAAACCTGCCATAACCAGCTTCACTAGCGACACTATCTGCAAAGAAAGACTAGAACCCGTCCCTATACAATTAAACACATCAGACATTAGTAACGTAATGTCTATCTACAATTAAACACGTTCATGTCACTTTAGTAACAGAGTTAAACAACATGAAACACTTCATTATTAATATTATCATTATATAAGTTATACAATTCCATGTCATTTCTATCTCTCTGTTGATTCAGTATCTCTTTACAGCCGGGACTCCATCCGCTCTTCGCTCGCGCTTCCGCGACACGCTTCGCTCCAACCCTCCATGGCGCGAAACCCTCGGTCCTCGAGAGAGGAGAGCTGCGTTCGGTCCAGCCGTGGTCGCAAAAGAATGGCCCCAAAGATGCTGGCTGGTGGTGCGAACTGGTTCTGACCCCTATAACCAATATTAACCAATCATCTATAGACTGAAGCATTCCCAGCGTGGTGACCATTGGATCCCTCATTCCTTGTTGGAATGAAAAAGAACTGCATCCAGTTGTCCCCCCCGAACCAAAAGCTCCAAATACTGAAGAGACGATTGACGAAGGATCCCTTATTCCCACCCACCAACAGTTCACTGTTGAACTGCTAAATCGAAGCACTTCAAGAAGAAGCACTTCTAGCATACCGATTTTCTGTAGACCATAGGCACAGGTGCCTGACCTCGAATTCCGCCACTGCCGGGATATCTGGGCTCCTGTTGGCCCTTCTATATGTTCTTCTGCTCCAGGAAAATTCTTCGTTTAACACCGAAAAGCAGCTCACCATCGAACTCCACAGCTCCGCCAACCCTTGGAAAGCTTTGCTGGTCTAAAAAATAGTAAACATCGAAAGTAGAACCACATATTCTGATATCATTTTGAGGGTCATCTGACGATCATTGTTCTGATGTGAATCAAAGCACTAGCTGGAACTGAGAAACCAGGGACCACAAAGAAAGCTACTAACTAGTCAGTAACTCATGTGTTTTCAGTTGGTTGTGTGGCCCAGGTAGATTGAGCAAAACCTGTTGTGAAAGTAGCTGGTAAGGTATGAGCCTGTATAGGAAACAGGGAAAACCCTTTAGCTGACCTATTGAATGGTCTTCTTTGAACACTTTACTATCCCTGCACCTCCGATGATGCTTTTCACATGCTCTATATAGTTTCCAGACTCGATGGGTAGTATTCGATGAGTCTGGTGGGGTGTCCATAACTTGAACGTCGCATTTCAAATCAGGCCGGTTCTGGGCGCCCACACTCGACCAGCTTTGGATCTAAGAGAGTCTTTGGTTGTTTAAGCCTCAGGTCGTCGCAAACCCGAGGCGACGACCGACGACGCGACTGTGAGCCGTCGCACACCCCCGAGGCACGCATGAGACACGAAGACGCGTTGGTACAATGCAACAGGTTGAAATTTAAAGCGATGTAAAAATAATTGTAAAAGCATGGTCACATTCATTCATGCAACACATTGCAATGCTGTAGCACTGGCCATGGTGGTCTTGTCATGACCTGTGCACTTCTCCCCCTCGAGGTGAAGACATTTCGTTGACATCGGCGAGGTCTGTCGCTGGAATGGGTGCATTGGACGTAACACCAGACTCTCCGGGCTTTGAGTTTGCTGTTGCCCGGGATAGTCTGGTGTTTGTTGGAGTATGAGCAAACTCGCCCGGTGATCCAACCCCAAATTGATCTGTAACTGTGTTGCCCAATTTGGGGTTCCCTGGATCTTTCATGTCCCTTTCAATCTCTTTCAGTGGAAGGTTGGTGCTTCACACAAGTCGGCTGGTGCTTCGCCTGTCGCTCCTCGCTGTCGCTCCTTCAGCTGTCGTGCGGTCTCAATACTCAGACAAGTGTCGAGGAGGTTGATGGCGGATCCTGCAGAGACCACAGATTCTTGCAGGGCACAGGGCTCAAAACGGCTTCTACTGGGGCGACCTTGCTGAAACTGGAAGTGCTGGGAGCTTCTTGCAACCTGCAATGCGCCTTGCATCTCCTGGGGAATCATTCTTCACAATCCTCAGGCAGGATTTAGTCTCCCAACTGTAGGGAGAATGGGTCGCCCACATACATCCACATAGAGCCCCAAACCTCCCAGGGACTTAGGGTCGCCTAAACACTCAAGGACTGGGACTGGTTGTTCTTGTGACACATGGACATAGTGACTGGTTCCTGATGGTCACAGGATCACCCCACTCTAAACAAACCTTCTTGCAACAACAAACAGAAGTTGCGCAAAGCCGCGCCAGGAGCTTCGAGTTCGCAATAACGACCGCTTCAAAGCTCCTCCTCTATCTCTTTGGAGAACTCCCCTGATTCCTGGGCAATAACAAACGTTCATTCTCTTCCCCCTCTTGCAGATTTAAGCTGAAACGTGGGGAGGCAATCACACCGCACATCATAGCAGCAAAACGAGGTCGGTGGCCACAAGCACAAGATAGCAAGTAGTCCTTTGTCATCTTGATGCACATGACTCATGGTATATATGGCATACATTGAAGAGCTGAAGAGCATGCGACTGCAGAAGGGTTTCACATCGTAGGTAACGCCCCCAAGAGTTCAAGCAAGCTGTCTGTGACTGGTCGAATCGTAGAATCAAGTCTACAAAGCCTACATTCTGGTACCAGCTTCGGTGCTGGACCTTGAAACAAGGGTCAGTCATATATGGAAGAACCTACTTGATATAATTACTGTAGTCAACATATTCCAGACTAGTTCATCCATTTTTTTTGAGCTTGTTTTTCTGGTATCTTTTCAATTGTGTATCACCAACTCTGAGGCCACTGCTTTCAACCTCCGCTTGCTGATCACCTGCGGTACGGCGCCCAACAACGTTGCGGTACGGCGCCCGTGTTCCGATGAGCTGAGTCGAGCATCTTTGGGCCGATGAGCTTACTGGCTTGATACGCATTTCCAGCATCCAAAAGCTCGAACTGTCTATACGCTCTGCAGGCCAACACTGACAAGAAGCTGAGTTGATAAAAGAAGGATTCGACCTCCGGAGTATTTGCTATGACTGCTTATGGCGACATTCACCTGTGGCTATGAGTTAAAACCAAATGCATATTAGACATCAGTTTAGTACAGTACATGATCTGGTGGATACACAAACTGTGTTGATACCTCATCACTGGCCCATCGTTCAATCATTTCGCCATATCTTGCCTACTGCCACCTGTTCTTATACTCTCGTTCTCACGGAGATGCCAGAATGATGCGTGTCATGTTCGCTCGGTTCCGCGTCGCCTTATTCCGGATATCGAAGGCCGTCCGCAGGATCCACACACAATCACGATCGTTAGTCCCTGGCGTCTTGAAACCCGCTGTGGATTCAGCTGGTCCTCGAAACCTGTGTCCAGAATGGGAGGATGAACCAAGCGGACTTGCTCTCAATGTGCCCTTTGCTGGCTTTGGTAAATGCCGAAGAGCTCTCCCATCAAAGATTCTACCTATTACAAGTAGTTGCGGGTCTGGGGTTGGCCACCACAATGTGCTTATCGACTTGTGAAGGCCTTATAATCCTTATAGAATGACAGAACATTGAATTTACAGTGATTCTGATTCTGTAGAAAGTCAGCTTGGCTTTGGCCTTGCAATCCCAAGCACTCCATGTATGGAATATGCAGCATTGTATATGCCTACATTGACACCTGAAGCCACCCCAATGTAGAGTGCCTTGGATCTACTCTTGATGGGGCTGGACCAACTTGGCCTGAACAGTTCCGAACTGTTGGTTTGTCTTGAGATCAAGGAGTGCCTATGTTGTGTAGAGGAAACTTGAGAGGAGGGAGACACGAAAGGTAGGACAGCGGGAAGAGAAGAGAACGCGAGAGGCAGGAACAAAAATGCAATGTTCGACATGGTGATTTATTCCCTCGGAGGCAACCTTTCGTAAATATATGTTCATATGCACTCTAAATGTTCAAACATATGCTCTCGAAATGTTCAAAAATATTCTTAGGAAAACAAACTTGCCCCATGGCTCAGATCATCGGTGAGCATCGAATCGGAGCATCATAGGATTTGAACTATCCTGAAACCATAAGAGGCTCACGAAGACGCTCCCCAGGAGAGAATTGACGTGCTTCACAAAACAAACTCTAGGTATGTATCCCCTCGGGGAACACCTTTCGTGATTAAAGTTTCATATGCACTCTTTCTGAATGTTCAAGATATCCTGAAATCATGAGAGGCTCACGAAGACGTTCTCCAGGAGAGAATTGAATTTAGAGGGGGGGGGGTCTGTATTGAAAAATCAATTCCAAGGGGGCGGGGGGTGAAAGAGTGACTAGGGCGTGCACGGTAGAGGTGCAGACCGCTAGTGTCTTTTATGCGCAGAGTCTTATCCTCTTGCTCTTTGAGCCTTGAAGCAGTCAAGCATGGACACACTATATCAGCTGTTGGAGTGGAACCCTGTACAGGTAGGCTCTACTTTTCAGCAGGCACAAGATTCATGTCCACTTCTAGCTGATTGCGTATGTCGCATACTCTTTTTCTACTGCAAGGCTAAATCAGTCCAGCTAGCTCTGACAACTTAAAAGAAAACTACGGTGCCATGTACTTACCTAATCCAGTGTGTTTCACACTTCAGGGAAGGTAATCTCATAGCTACTAAATACAGTGAGGGAGCAATAGCTGACTCACCTCAAGTACAAAATCAAATCGATAATGTACCTCGGCTGGAGACTGTACTTTTCGCAGGCGGAGATACCATGTACCGGCGCTCACTAGCTCTTTATGGCCTGAGCTAAATCAAACTAAAAGGGAAAGCGGCTTTTTCTCTACAGAGACCTATAAAAGAATCAAACGACACTCGCGTAACAAAGAACTAAAAATTCAAGACCGCACAATGCAATGAATTAAGATGCCTTGCAAAATGCAAGGAGCGTACGGTCCGAGGAATAATCTTCTCGTGACGTGGTCTCGACCGCTTTCATTCACAGACAAAATAAACTGCATCAAAAGGACTCTCTTTCACATTCACATCGAAAACACAAGAAGGAGATACCGGCAAATGTATGTACAAAACTTGCACTACAAATGCAGACTTATGAAATGACTTAATCATCAACCATGACTGGTTGTCCATTAGAGGTCACTTCATAAGAGCGGTGGTGATAGATATCATCAGTTCTGTAAAACTGTCCATACCTATCTACATGCTAAAGCATATAAACCTGGAATGCAGGAGTATCTTCTTTGATAAAAAGTTTCTCCTCATTGCAAACCAGAATTTATTAAAACTTCAGCCTGGCAACTTAAAGTCAAGCCTGGAAGCAAAGTATCAACTGTAACCAGAAGTAT